AGACTGTGGGACATTTAGCTGCATATCAGTGCAATGTTTGTGTTGACGTTGCTACTGATGGTGTTGTCAGCGAAGGTGTCGGTGTGAGTTGAAGTGAGGATTGACAATTGGGCAGCCTTATGTGGTTGCCTAGGTGCATGGCGGGTTTAACGCTGAAATGGTTCCCATGTCTCCCCCAGCAACTGATGAATGATTAAACCTTTGGCGAGTTGGGTCTTTAGCTTCGTAGTTAACTGGCTCACATCAGTGATTGCACCTGGGAACAGCCCTGAAGTCGGGCGTGCGGGGGGGAACAGAGACCCGAAGCAGAAATTCTTTTTTTGAATGAGAAGGGACTGCCCCTTCCCTCTCCATTCTCCATCAGACGAATTTGAAATTTGCTACCTACAGACTCAATAATTCCAATCTCCTCATCAACACTTCCCACCAGGAACTCATCTGATTCTCACTCCCCACTTGCCTGGATGAGTGCAGCTCCAATAACACTTGAGAAGCTTGACACCATCCAGGACAAAGCTTGATTGGCACTACATCCACGAGCATCCACTCTCTCCACCACCGACGCTCAGTAGCAGCAGTGTGTACCGTCTACAAGATGCACTGCAGAAATTCACCGAAGCTCCTTAGATAGCACCTTCCAAACCCACAACAACATCTGTCTGGAAGGACAAGGGCAGAAGATACATGGAAATGCTGTCCCCGCCCCTGCAATTTGTTGGGGGTGCAGGGGGAAGAAATTCTGCCCATTGTTTTCAGACCAATTGGTCACCTTTGAGAATCGCTCTCTCATGTGTCTTGGGATGTTTTTCCATATTAAAGGCACCATACACACACAAGTTGTCTTTGTTGAGTGGCCAGCATTTTATTGCCCATTCCTAATTGCCCTTGAGAAGGTGGTGGTGAGCTGAACCACTGCAGTCCATGTGCTGTTGGATGAATTTAATTAGCTTTATTGCGACGTGTACTCAAATGAGTAGAGTGAAAAATTTATAAGTCCCCACTTGCAACGCCATCTTAGGTACAAAGGTAACTAGGTACAGCTTCTTTAGTTGCACTGTGATTAATCTGTAACTGTGTCACCAACATACAGCACTATCTTCGATGGAGAGTACCTAGTTACAATCCTTAGTTACAGGTAGGCCCACAATGCCGTTCGGGAGGGAATTCCAGGATTTTACCCAGCGACACTGAAGGAATGGTGAGGTACTTCCAAGTCAGGATGGTGTACGTTAATTTTTCAAACAGTTCTCTCTGAGTGATTGGAAATAATAAAATTAAGCCAAAAGGTGAAATTGGCCCCGCTTCCCTAAATGTGATATGGAACGTCTGGGAAGATGTTGAATCAGAGTTGGATTCCCTGATTCGGACTCTGCTGGGAATATAAAGTAGCTTTGACCCGTACTCGGGATGCTAATGCCGATTGGAGCTTGGTGGGGACGAGCCTGGCGGATATATCGGCTGGGTGGGATTTTCAGATGCCTGATTCAGATTCGCCAGGTTCGCAACGACCAGCTCAACATTACCTCCGTCTGGCTTAATGGTGCAAAGGTCAGACAGTCACTGGAGCACTGCAGACTGGAGGGGCACGTCAGGGTCTTGTGGAATCCCAAATGCAGCTGACCGGAATGGAATTTGTGCTCTAGAACCTGTACCCTAGGTCCCTTTGTACCTAAGATGGCGCCTTGTAAACTTTTCACTGTCCTCATGTAACAATAAAGCGAATTCAATTCAATTCAATTGCCCGCCAAATTAAGGATTCTGATGGTCAATCTCCCCTGAATGTGGAACGCCTGGAAACAAATGCTCCTTCATATCAGGGATCATCGAGGCTTCCACTTTCATTAGTAAATGCCCGGGAAATGTTAGACAATTAAAAATCTAGTCTCAACTATCAAGTTGACCTCGCAACACCACCCCCACCCAACATCTTAGGCCTCCCAGATCCCTGGTAATGCCTCTGAGCAGCCCCCCACAAACTAACATGCAAGACCCAACAATTACCCTTAGAGCCACAGCACTCTCCCCGACCCCTATGCCACCTACCCCAAGCACTCCTTCATTTACCTGGCACCCTGTCCCATCCAGCCACCTGGCGCCCTGATTCCTCACCAACACGCGCCTTAAACACTTCCGCGGTCCGCTCCCAAAGTGCCCAGCAGTGCGTTTAAAACTGAGCGCAGGTCCGCAGCAGGGTTCGGGATTTGACCTCCCTCAACAATCCCGCTCTCCTGGAGCGTTCCCGGCTGTTCCTTTGCCTTTCTGGGCGAGAAACGCGGAACTCTGCGCTGACGCCGAAACGAGTGAAGAGGGGAGTGACGGGCTAACGGTGACAGTGGGGAGTTATTCGTTTCCTCATGCCCGCGGCCTCCGGGATGTGCCCTGGATGGCAGACCCAGGCAAGGTGGGCGGTTAAAAACATGCAGCCCGCTGAGACTTCAGCTTCTGAGGCTTTTTTTTTGGGTGAACTTCAAAGGCTTCAGGCCTGAAATCAGCCAGATGGACAGGCTCGTCAAAAAGGATCCAGGTGGCACTTTTGCTCAATTGCCAGGAAGCTGAGGCCCGTTATTAAGACTGAGTGCACGTCAAGATGGAGGGTTAAGGGCTGGAGAGGGAGAGGGAGGGGGAGGGGGAAGGGGGGGTGGGGGGGGACGTGGATTAGCTTTCCCACACTCTGAGTTATCAATAACTGGCTCTTCTGTCAGGCATCGGTCTCCCCGAGTTTGTGTTGTGTCAACAACGAGCCAGGGCCTCTGCGGACCTTGATCTTTTGCTGTCTGAGAAACAGATTTGGCTCGTCCTGTTTTTGTTTTGTGCCTTGATGGTGGTTCGGGGGTTGGGGGAGGTTGGTGGAAGCTGCTTTGGACTGTGACCTTGCGTGGAGAATGGGTCGCTTCGGGTTACGATCCGACGCTCGCTTTGTTTAGCCGACGTCAAGAGCAGACTTCAAACAAACTCTTGGGTGGTCATGTCCCGAGCTGTTTCCTCCAGCCCTGGAACTGACTGAGGTTCCCTTTTGTCTGGAAGAGAAAGAAGTTTGACTGGTGACCTCTCAAGGCTCTTTTAAATTGATTGGCTTGCGGTGGGGATGGAGGGGTGGTGGGGGCTAGATTTGGGGAAAAGAAACATTTTCACACGAGTTTCGCTAACGATTCCTACACAGAATGGGAGCCTTTATCCAAAGGGTAGTTTATACGAGGCTCAAACAGAGGTAATTGAAGCAAGTAATTGGATGCTTTAAGGGGAAGCTTATATAAATCGAAGAGCAAACAAGGACTGGAGGGATTGGGTTAAGAAGGTGTACAATGGAAGATGATATAAAGAATAGCCCTGTTGCAGAGCTCTTTAGCCACAATGGCCCGTTTCCCTTGCTGTAAATTCTCAGCCTCTGTTTATGTCTCCAACAGAACCAAGAGGTGGTTAACCCCTTGCCCTCCCTTCTGGCCTTCCCCTTTGGTCTTTATGTTGAAGGTAATTCAGTCGCTGGGATGAGCAAATATCATTTCCCACCAGGCCATGGTTGGTAAAAAAAACAAGGGCAGGACTTGTACAATTAATGTTAGGGCCCTGGGAAGGGTCACAGAGTCATACATACAGCATGGAAACAGACCCTTCGGTCCAACTAGGCCACGCTGACCATAATTCCCAAACTAAACCAGCCCCACTTGCCTGCGCTTGGCCCGTAGCCCTCCAGACCTTTTCAATTCATATATTCATCCAAATGTCTTTTAAAATGTTGTAACTGCGCTTGCATCTACCACTTTCTCTGGCAGTTCATTCCACACATGAACTGTGTTAAAAAAAAAAGTTGAGCCCATGTCTTTTGCAGTGTTGGAGAACAGAGAGGCCTAGGGTTTCAGGTACATAATTGTTTGAAATTTGCGTCACAGGTAGACAGGCTGGTTAAGAAGGCATTTAGCACGCTCTCCATTATTCCTCAGACCTTTGAGTATAGGGGTTGGGGGGCGTCATGTTGAGTTTGTACAGGATGGTGGTGGGGCCTCTTCTGGAGTACTGTGTGCAGTTCTGTTATAGGAATGAAATGATTAAACTGGAGAGGGCTCGGAAAAGATTTACCAGGATGTTGTTGGGAATGGAGGGTTTGAGTTATAAGGAGAGGCTGGATAGGCTGGGACGTTTTTTCCCTGGAGCGTAGGAGGTTCCTTACAGAAATTTATAAAATCGTGAAGGGCATAAGGTGAACAGTAAAGGTCTTTTCCCTAAGGCGGGTTGAGTTCAAAGCTAGGAGGCAAATTTTTGAGGTGAGAGGAGAAAGATTTAAAAAGTACGAGGGACAACTTTTTTACAAAGAGAGTGGTTTGTGTGTGGAAGGAACTGCCAGAGGAAGTGGTGGATGCAGATACAATGTTTAAAAGATATTTGGATAAGTGCAAATAAAGTGCACTAAAGGTCTGGAGGGATTTGGACCAGGAGCAGGCAGATAGGATTAGTTTAGATTGGGAACACGGTTGGACTGGTTGGACTAAAGGGTCTGTTTCAGTTACTGTGTGACTCTATGGCAGAAGGGAACTCTGTGGAATGGTCCGTTTTGCAGGGGGCTGGACAGCATGGGGAGCCCTGCAGGGTCTAACCTACCTTCCTTCGAGCCGTTGTGTGGCCATCACCTTACTGTGGTTTGTGGGATCTTTACATCCGCTGACCAGCTCGCGCTGTTTTGCGTTGCCTCGGTGGGCTACCCTTCAGAAATAACGTGCCACCCACTAAACTGAGACTGGCAACCACTCGCTCCTCAGCCAAATGGCGCTAGTAGAAGGCTAGTCATGCTTGGGAAGAGACCAACAACACTAAGGATTGCTTGCACCATTACACTGTATTAGAGGCCATGAGTAGAGTATCACAAATGGCTATAAGGTCAGAGCATAACCTTTCCATCCCTAGCTCTGCCTAACGCTGTTTGTTCAATAACAACGACTTATGCTCACACAGTGCCTTTAGGACGTTTCCTGTACAAATGGCTTTTATCTTTGCTCTCTGCCCTTCAGGTGCAGGCAATGCAGGAGAAATTGAAAGCAGCCAACATCCAGACCAGCGAATCAGAGAACAGTTTGTTCAAGAAGTACCAGGAGCTCACCAATACGCTGCAGGAAAAGGATGACGTGATTCAGAGGCTGGAGCAACAGTTAGACAAACAGGTGCCTCAACAAAACTGTTTATGTCCAAGAACCACATCTCACAAGGGCTGTCATAAGTCCCTAGGTCATTTGAAAATCAGGCAAGACCTTGAAAAGTCTTGAATTTTTGTTTAAAAATGGCCCTTCCTGCATTTATATTAACGATAAAGATTATAGGCTGTCTCCGATAGCTCAGATTTTCGCTAGGCAGCATGTTGGGTACATCCACAGGGCCTGTTCGGGAGGGGAGCTCCAGGATTTGTAACCCAGTGAGGACGAGGGAGCAGTGGTATCGTTGGAAGTCAGGATGTGGAGTGATATTTGGGGTAGTGTTCCTGTGAGCCCCCTTACTCCTGTCTCTGAAGGCGGCGGGGGCCACAGGTTTAAGAACTGTGTAGCAAATTGTACATCTGGATTGAAAAGAAAGATCTCAAACTCAAATATCCAGAAGAGAAGTAGGCCATTCAGCCCATCAAGCCTTCTCCTCCATTTAGTGATTGAACACATCAATGCCTTTTACCCACATTAACCCCATAACCCTTTAATAACCATTGGAATTCAGAACTCTGACCATCTCTGCCTTAAATAGACTTGAAAAACTTAGCTTCCATTGAACCTCCAGTTTCCAAAGGTGCACCACCTTCTGAATAAATAAATTTCACCTCATCTAAGAACATAAGAACCAGCAGCAGGAGTTGTCATCTGGCCCCTCGAGCCTGCTCCACCATTGATTAAGATCATGACTGAGCTTATCGTGGACTCAGCTCCACTTACCCGCCTGTTCACCATAAGCCTTAATCCCTCTACTGTTCAAAAATCTATCTTTGCCTTCAAAACATTCAACGAGGAAGCCTCAGCTGCTTCACTGGGCAGGGAACTCCACAGATTCACAACCTTTTTGGGTGAAGAAGCTCCTCCTCAGCTCAGTCCTAAATCTGCTCCCTTTTATTTTGAGGCTATGCCCCCGGTTCTAGTTTGACCCGCCAGTGGAAACAGCCTTCCTGCTTCTGTCTTGTCTAATCCCTTCGTAATTTTGTATGTTTCTGTAAGATTTCCCCCTCATTCTTCTAAATCTCTGTCCCCAAAATGGCACCACAGTTATTTTCAAAGTGTACCATTCGGTTTAGATTCCCCAACTCAGGGAAACATCACCCCTGTCTTGCCTCTTTAAGAATTTTGTAAGTTTTAGTTCTTGCGATTTGAAATTCTAGAGAACACAGGGCCAGTTTGGCCAGTCTCTCTCTATCCCGCCTGACTGTCCCAGGAATAGGTTTTGTGGACTTTTGTTGCACTCCCTCTGTGGCTATAATGTCTTTCCTGAGGTACTAAGACTAAAGCTGTGTGCCAGGTGCTTCGGCGCACTGCAATTTCAGCCTAAATTCCACGTTTGAGTCTCTAAAACAAGGCTTTGGGCTCGGAGTTGAGCGTGTGACCCACTGAGTCATGGCTGACACATGACAAACAGGGTAGCCATACAATTTGATTAACAATCATCCATCCGTTTTAAATAGGTTACTGTTTAACTTCGCATTTAACAATATTCGAATTGGAGCCGTCTGGTTTTGTGGTATTTGAAACAGTATTCCTGACAGAATATTCCAGAACAGTGGGCTGACAGGCCTAGGGAGACATTGTTCCTGGCCTACTTCCAGGTCATAGGTCAAATGGACACTGGCTGGTGTTTAAAAACCTTGTCTAATTTTGGACAGAAATGAATGTTTTATTCTCACTGTGTGAAAATACTGTTATTTATTTTACCTCAGAGGGCTGAGAGCGCGTTTGCCTACTTTCAAACCTGCCAGGACCTGGTTTAATCTCATCAATTTGAGTTTTATCCAGGTTTGCAGCTTCGCGCGACATCCGGGAATGCAGAAATGAATTCCCGCTGACGGCTGATTTACAATCCTTCTTTCCCTCAGAACCAGATGAGAGCACAGGAGGCGAAGGTGATTGAGGAGAAGGCTGTCAGGATCAAAGAGTGGGTGACGTTTAAGTTAAGAGAGGTAAGTCCCGGGTTCTGGTTCGCTGGGGTGACTTTTGCAACGCGAGGTGACAGGAAGGAGAATGCTGAAACATCCGAGCTCGCGGCACTCCTCCAATCCCGGCCTCTTGCCCTAATTTTAATCGCCCTGCCCTTTTTGGTGGCCAGGCCTATAGCTTGCCTCAGGAATTCGCCGCCTAAATCTTCGTACCTCACTTTCCACCTCCCTGCCTCTCCTGCTTTAAGAGGCTGTCTTAACATAGGAGCGCGGAGAGCAGGAGCAGGATGAGGCTATTCGGCCTGCTTCACCATTCATGGCTGATCGTCCATTCGCTGAGACTCCATTCCACAGCGTACGAGATACATCGGACCAGTGTGTCCCTGCCATTTTTACTGGTTTTGGCCTTTTGGGAATGGCCACAGTCAACCGTCTTTTGGGAATAGAAAAGTGTCAGTGTGACTCCCTCCTGCAAACATTCCAGTGTTAACCAAAAAGCCTGAATAGAAGGCCCGACGAGAATGACTAGAGAGGCACTCCCGTTACATATGGTCTGTTTTGAAAGTATATTGTTTTCCGCGTGTGGGTGACCGGGCTCCCTCTGCCGATGTGGGCACACTCTTCTCCCCCAGTGCCCGCACACCTCCATCTTTTACAGCAAAGGTGATTGGCGCCATCGCTGAGCGTATTGGTTTCCTTAAAAAGAAAACCACATGGCAATAAAAACACACCTCCCCGAAAGGCAGAGAGACACACAAGTCCCATAAAACCAATTGCCTCAGTGCAAAAGTAGACCATTCAGCCCATCGATAAACCTCAACACCACTTTCCTGCCTTTTCACTATAATCCTTGATTCTCCTGCTGATTAAAAATCAGCCAATCTCAGCCTTGAGGGTACCTAATGACCCAGTCTCGACGCCCCCCCCACCATGGTAATGAATTCTACAGATTCACTCTGCTCCAAGGGAAGAAACTCCTCCTCATCTCTGTCCTAAGTGGGTGAAGCCTTAGACTCTCCCACAAGGGGGATGTGAAAACATGGCAGATCCTCCAGCACACAGGCACCAATTGTTCACTGGAAGCCTGTGCATTGAGTTTGGGAACCCAATGGAGGACGCTCTGCCCGTCCGACAGCTACCTGGTCGTCAGAAGCTGAGGCCCCTTAAGCAATCAGTAGTTGACCGGTTATGGGTCTCCGCTGATGGATGGGGTGAGAATGTCAACCTTTGCGGGTGGAGGCGGGAAAGGGGCAGGGTTCTGAGCTGCCCCGACCTAAGTTTCCATCCTAGCCTCGGGGCCCTGCCAAAGATTTCTGAGACTGGAGATTTCAACCTCAAACTTTCGCGAATTGACCCAACGCCAAGCAGGACGTTGGCCCAAACTTTTCTCCAGAGCAGCTCTTGCTTGGCAAAAGTGCACATTTCGGGAGCGAGCAGGCAGAACAAAACACACAGGGCAGCTTGGTTTTACCCCACCCTGGGGTCTCTCCCTTCTCTCCCCACCCACCCGACTCCCAGAATTTGGGTCCGCAGTACGTAGTCCAGGAGAAACCAATTGAAGGGAAGTGGGAGCTAATTCCGGTGTGGAGAGATCAGGCCTGTTCTCAGTAGGCCTGCATCTCTCCCGCTCCCCCCCCCCTCCCCCCTTCACTTGGTTTCTCCTGGACTACGTACTGCGGACCCAAATTCTGGGAGTGGGGTGGGTGGGGAGAGAAGGGAGAGACCCCAGGGTGGGGTAAAACCA